TCTCCACTTCTAACGGTAGGACAACTTCCATACCGTACACTAAGGAGAAAGGAGTTGCCCCGGTTGATGTACGTACCTTTGTACGATAACCGTGCAGTGCAAATGGCAACATCTCGTGCCAATCTTTATAGGTCACAACCATCTTCTGAACAATCTTCTTGATGTTCTTATTGGCCACTTCAACGGCGCCATTCATCTTCGGCCGGTAAGGAGACGAGTTGTGGTGTTCAATTTTGAAACTCTGGCACAGCTCCTTCATCATCTTGTTATTCAGATTCGAACCATTATCAGTAATGATCCGCTCGGGAATTCCGTATCGACAGATGATGTCCCTTTTTATGAATTTAGCCACCACCTGCTTGGTCACGTTAGCATACGAGGCTGCCTCCACCCACTTGGTGAAGTAGTCGATATCTACTAGAATGAAGCGGTGATCGTTAGATGCAGTGGGCTCGATCTTGCCTATCATGTCGATGCCCCACATGGAGAACGGCCACGAGGAGGACATGACATTTAACGGGCACGGCGGCACATGAACTTTATCAGCATAAATCTGGCATTTATGACATCTCTTCGCGAATTTAAAGCAATTCGATTCCATCGTCAGCCAGTAGTATCCTGCTCTCAGGATCTTTCTTGTCATAGCATGCCCGCCGGCGTGCGTACCAAATGTGCCTTCATGGACTTCTTCCATGAGCATACTCGCCTCTTTCTCATCTACACATCTGAGTAGCACGAGATCATGGTTTCTTTTATACAAAACTCCATCAGGATTGAGATAAAAATTTCCAAACAGCCTCCTCAGAGTCTTCTTATCCTGGGTTGACGCTCCTGCAGGATACTCCTTATTCATAAGGAAAGTCTGGATATCATGGAACCATGGCTTGCCGTCGGCGGCTTCCTCGATGGCAAGGACGAATGCAGGTCTATCAAGACGAGAAAGGACAATTCTTGGAGCTTCATTCCAAAAATTGACTTTATACATCGAAGCCAACGTGGCTAAGGCATCAGCCATCTAATTTTCGGTCCTGGGCACATGATGGAGTTCCACTCTGTAGCGGTAAAAATCGTGAGTGTAAGTTATTGATTAACTTAACTCAAAGAAAACAAGAGTCGCCACCGCACTTTTATTTTATCCAAAAAAGGAAAGGAAAAAGAGCGAACAAAACCAAATAGTTCTAAAATAAGAACAAGAGACAGAGATCGGGGTAAGGGGGTTGGTTACGCAATGGGAAGGTGTTAGCACCCAAAACGTCTATAGTACTCTATAGGAGCCCTTTGAAATATTTACGCTTTTTGGTTTGAAAATGGTTTGTTTGAAAAGAGATTGGGGAGATGAGAAGAGAATTATTTTTTTAGATTTTTGTGTTTGGAGAGACTTATCGTCTCATGCCTACGTACCCATAAAGTGCAATATGGAATCAAAACCCCGTAGTTCGTGGTACAAATGACAAAAATTTGTTGGTTTTGATTGATTTTAGATGTAAAGACAAGTCGTCATTCCAAGGAGAAAACTGCGACTATCCACCCACGAGTATTAAGACAACATTTGCGTCACATAAAGATGGAGGATTTGCTTGGATTATCAACAAGACTATCACTCAACATCAACGTGGAAAATGTCAAAGTCTTAATAATATGGGGAATAGGAGATTTACATCTCAACTATAGAAATGAATCATGTCTAAACTTTATGAAAAGTTTAAAAGTGAAAAAGTGCATAAAGGCACAAAAAGAGTTGATGAGTTTTTGTATTTTTTATGTCTTTTGAAATTGGTCAAATCATGATTAACATTGATTGACTTTTATTAAGAAAAAAAACAAAGTTTAAAAATCACTTGACGAAAGTCAAGGTTTTATTGCGAAAGCGGTTTTGAAGTTTGAAACCAAGAAGGTTTTGAAAGAGGGAGAAAGTTTTGAAAATTTAAGAAGGGGAGGAAATGAAGTGACTATCCTAGAAACCAAAATAAGAGCTAGAGATAAGAAAGATCTAACCGACTTGTAGCACACTCCATAGCAAGCAAAAAAGAATTCCATCCGATTTAAAGCATAAGCTAATGAGCGAGGCAAATAAAGGCTAAGATCCACAATACTCCAAGCATAGGAATGAGAGCCCTAATTCTAAGTCCAAAGGTCCATAAAGTCCAAGGTCTAAGAGTAGTCCAAGAGCATAACCACAAAGTTAATAGCACCAAATTTTTTAGATGTTTTATCCTTTATTAGTGTTTTGAACAAAGTATGGTCCAAGTGGACAAAAGAGAAATGACATAAACATAAACAAAGATATGATATGAAATGATAAAATGGAAGCATAAAAGTAAGAAATAAGGAGTAAGAAGAGAATATAAACAAAATTAAACAAGGATATTGTTAGTGAATTAGTGGTTAGTGGTTAGAACATATGATCAATGATGATTAATTCTTGCACTTAGACCAAGATTAATGAAAATTCATTAGAGGATTGATAAAATCAAAGCCTCCTAACAATGATTTTCATAGGTATTGGAGTTAAGACAAGCAACTAAACCTACTTGGACTTTTAAACGTAAGTTTGAGCCACGAATGATCATTTTCCGATTAAGGGACACTTTAGCGCTATGTTAAGCAATCGTAATCGGGTTTATGTAGAAACCACGACTATCTGAGGCCGGTCAATAAAATGTTAGTGTTAATGCATGTTAGAGAAGTGATATGTAAATCACTCTCCTAAAACATGCCACACAAAAAGAAAAGAGGTAGTGATCTCATCATAATCAAGATTTTTAATCAATTAATCAAAGGTAATCTATCACTATTCCAAAGTACGGAGAATTATCTCAATGATTATTCATCCATAGATTTGAAATAATGAAGATTAAACAACCTTGATAATCAACCATCTATGATCCATAGATTTCATCGATCAAAAATAAAAAGAAGAAGAAAGAAAATAAAAATGAAAAGAAATCACAATTTGAATCTTAAATCGATTAAATTATCATCAATATCAATCACCTCTCTTGGTGGATAAAAGTAAACACCCAAAGTCCATTGATATTGATGAAATCCTATCAAAATTCAAGATCCAAAACAACCAACAATTGATCCAAATTAAAATGTTTTCAAATAATTTTTAAATGCTTTTTTTTTAAGAATATTATTATTATTATTATTATTTTTTAAAAAAATAAACTAATAACATAAAAAAAAGGGCCACACGGCCAAATTTCTTAAAAGAGAAATATATATAAAAAGAAAAAGAAAAGAAAAGAACGTAAATGACATAATACTTGAAAAGGATAAACAGAAATATCTTCTTCTCACGCGAAACACTTCACGGCCATGGACGCTTGCTTAAATCACAACGGCGGGACGCGAAAAATACGCGGTTGCAATCGAAATCAAGAGCTCTTCACAATGATACCAACAATTCAAAGAAACACAACAAAAAGTAACGGATCGAAACTGACGGTGAAGCTCAATCTACCTTCAAACTCAGGTGAATGATGAAATCGAAACTCTCTTCTTCTTTCTTCTTCTTCTGGACTGCGAAATTCTGATTGTTGTGTTGAAGAAATTGAAATATGGTGAGTTTTTATGTGGAAAGGTTTGTGAATGAAAAGAGAGTTGAATCTGATGAAATTTGAAGAACGGTTGAGGGTGATTTTTGAAAGTGAAATTTGAAGGAAAATTGAGGAGTTATGATGAAAATTCTGCAGGGATTAATTGGCTTGAAAAGCTTGAAGAAAGGAGTGAATAAGGCTCTCTATTTATAGGATTTGAGGAGTGAAATCTGAGAAATGAAGTTGAGTTGCCGTTTTGCAATTTTCATTGCGTTTTTCTGATGCAAATTGAGCGTGACTTGTTGTGATATTTTTTTCATGTCGTTTTGGACTTTTTCTTCTTTCAGCTCACTTAAGTGACGTGGAAAGCTTGTGGGGTCAGCTTGGAGTGTAACATGACTGGGATTATATTCACATGGCTTGCAATATGGCTTGGATAAGTGATCAATTATTTTCTCAGCTCAACCTCAATTTTGAGCCGCTTTCACTCTGCTTCATCTACCTCCTTAGTGCTCATCTTACCACGGAACATTGCTGAAGCAGTCAAATAACGACCATGGCGTGGATCTGCTGCGCACATCACATTCTTAGCATCTCACATCCGCTGAGACACCGCAAGCTTCGGAAAAACAGAAGGAATCATGTTTTGTTGACAGATGCTGCATACTTTCTCTGCTGCTAAGCGTTCACGCCGTTGCCTTTCTAATGTTGTCGTAATAATCACGACTATTAAAGTCAGTGATGCATAATTTCGGGTTAAACCGAGCCGTGATACACGCTAGCTGCTGTTGAACATTATCAACTGATTTCAGTGCCCTGTGATTGTTTAGGGACAAGTATCTGTCTTGGTCAGAAAGTGTAGAAACAGATTCTGGTTCAACAAATCGAGCTCTCCTTGCATAGTTTGACTCGGACCATTGGAACGGAAAAGTACTTCTTCTGGGGCTATTTAGCTTTTGGTGAACTTTAAGAATGTAAGGCTGAAGATGTGGATGATTTAGTAACTCTCCAGCGGTTGGCCTTAGCTCTGGATTTTTCCGCAGCATACTTTTGACAAGCCCTCGGAAAGCACTAGAGTACACAGTTGGCAGTGGAGCTACTACAGACTTGTTTATTTTGTGAATCAATGCTTGTATATCAAAAGCTTTAAAAGCTGGTCTGTGAGCCGCCATTTCATAAACACAGCATCCCAAAGACCAGATATCTGACTTAGAGCCATAGGGTATATCGGCGAGAAGCTCAGGGCACATATAACTTGGAGTCCCAACAATTGAGGAAGCAAGATCGTCAGAAGTCAACATTTTAGCGAGACCAAAATCACCTAGACGTATATCTTGATCTTTTGTTAAGAATATATTTGAACACTTAACATCCCGATGAAGAATATGATTTACATGTAAGTAATCTAGTGCCATCAGTAACTGGACAAACCACTTGCAGAGTTTCTCTTCAGAAAAGTTAACACTGTTGGCCTTTTTTTATAGCTTCAGCCATATCTCCTCCTTCACAATAGCCGATGATAATACATAAAAAACAACCCTTTTCCACCCAAGAATCTTTATACTCCACAATAAACGGATTTCGAACTTTAGATATAAGCTCCATCTCCTGGTGAGCCGATCTGCGGGTTCTGTCAGTTTGGCGAGCAAGACGGATCTTCTTGAGAACATACTTTTTCTTTTCATGTTTGTGTCGCACAAGCAGCGCAGAACCAAATGCGCCTTTGCCGATCTGTTCTAGAACTTCATATTGCTCCATTTGAATTTAAACCACTTCACCTCCTACTGAAAACTATCACAGAGAAAATGAAAAATCAATTCTCAGCTTCAGAAAGAACACAATTCAGTTGCAGATGCTTATACAGCCACAAAACGACTTTACCAGAATTGAATTCAACACTTGGATGATAACTGGTAAATGAAACCTCAGCCTAACTAACCCCAAACAACAATACCAGTAGCATGAATAATTATACAGAGAGAAAAGAACAAGATCATGCATTACTTCCCTCATGCAATCTAACAGTGACCTACCATCTTTCAAAAAGATACATGCCGAAGGCCTGCGGTTACTGCTTCCACCAGCATGGTTTGCAAAGCCGCTGAGTCCAAACACATTCTGACAACATGTGCACTTAATTCCTTCTAGAGTAATCCTTCCCTCAAATGTAGATGAGTTTCTGCCTTCTGTTTCCCAGTAATAGACCTTGTATCTTGGCAACACAATTTTGCAATTTATTAACCAAGACACAATATTTTGAGGCTTTTGATGTACTTCATCCAATATCGGACCACGTAGGACAGTAAAAGATGCCTGCTGATCAGATTTAATGGGAAACGATCCATTTGGACGGAAGACGTATGCCAACCAAGACAAGCATGCTGGAACTTCTCGCATGATGTTTGTTTTTACAATTCCAGGATCTGAGCATATCGATAATGCTTAAAAATTTCTTTCCAGATACAGCTCCCTCATCAACCTGCATATTAGTAACAGCTCGGTGAGTAAACGATGTTACGTTCACAATTTTGGAAGACACAGGACTGTTTTCAAGAAGTGGTAATAGAAGCTTGGTCAAAACAAATGTGCCAACATAATTTGTGCCGATCATCTGATCGTATCCCTCAGCCGTGACTCTAGGAGATGTAGCAATGATGTTCACACCAAGAAGACAATTAACATGCAAATTGGTGCCTTCTGTGCATTTACTTAAAGCAGTATTTCCATTACAACTTCCTCCATGAGGTAGACCCTTCCCATCAGATACAGATTCAGAAATAACAGAAGCTTGTGCCTCGTCCATTTTAGGGAAATTGTATGAAGTATCACCCAGTGGCTTTTCAGACCCGCGAGTTGAAGCCTCATCTTCCAAAATACCTTTGTCCTTACTTGCTTGAACAGTAGCATTTGGCTGCTTCTCGGCCACCAATATTACTTCACGATATAATTTCAGAAAGAAACATACTTCAGAGCATCCCTTACATACGCCATGTCTCCATGTCGGCGCTTTTTTGCCTTACGGCGAATAACAACCGATATCTTATCATCAAAGTTGGCTACCTCAGACACAGAGGCATCATTTTCTGCAGAATTCTCATTCTCTTCTGGAATTGTATTCTGAGGAGAGGCACCTTCAGAGTCTCTCTTGGCATGGAAATAATCACCATTTGCAAGAAAAGTATTTTCAAATGTATTCTTGGAAGGTTGAGTCGGATCTAATACCAAACTGTATTTTGGAATAAAGGCCTCAGAGTCCTTTGGAATATTGTGTGTTTCTGAAGGTATCTCAGATTTATTAGTTTCATTGGACACTGTAGGATGTAAACAACCACCGGAAACAGCAGAATCTTTTTTTTCAATAAATCACCCGAAACAAAATCTTGCACTTCATCCTTTGTATCAGTAATATTCTGCTCACCCTCAATAATTGGAGACACCCTTTCCCCCGTTTTAGGAAGAGACATGGTGTCGGTGATTCCTTTAACATCATGCAATACGACAGAACACTTCTTTAAACCATCATTGCAAATTATTTCTTGTAGTGCGGTCTTTTGGTCAGAAGGTGAACAAATACCTTCAAATCGTTCACAAGACAATGGCTGGCTATCTCCATAGCAGATGTTGGCTGGTAAACAGGGATCAGCTAATGGCCCATCAGGAATGTTTAAATCGCGAGTACCATCAGCAGTTTTGCTGGCACTTCTGGAATTAGGGCTCAACCCATCATTCATATTCTGGCCCCTCCTGCCACATTCAAAGTAGACACATTCCCTCCTGCATCACTAGAACCTGCAACACTATATTCACCTTTGTTGTATAAATGTGCATGTAAATCCTCCAAAATCTTATAAAAGAGGACTCCACGCAACTTCGTTAACTCAGAACGGACATCTTGAAGTGCCCCAACAGTTTGGAGACCTCGCTCAAGCATCATGATGGATTGCAAATGCGATTGAACTGCAGCATAATATTGCTTCTCTGCAATGAGTTTCTCAATACGAGCTGGAACCTTAGCAATGTCTTCAATTTGAGATTATGTGTCGCAATGTGACTGATCGATACCATAGTTGATATAACTGCTTATTGCGGGCACTAAGATGCTTCTTAGCCCCTTGCTAAATCTACCTTCAGGACGCCTATACTTTCAGTGGATTCACTAAAAAGCCTCAAGATCTGGGAATAGTTTTGGATAGCTCTGTTGAAACCATTATGATAAGATTGTACAACTTCATCCACAACCTCCTCAATAACATCACTCTGCTCCTTCAAAAATTGGGCAGCAGCTTCGCGGTCTTTTGATGTCAAAATATGAACAACGTGAGGTAAAGAATCAAAACGAGCAGCAGTCCAAGTACCAGCTAAAAAGCATAGCAAGATAAACCATAGGCGAAGTAACCCCAGGCATCTTCACTTGTCTTTATCCAAGTACATAACATTAGAGTTTTTGGTATCAATCCCTTTTGCAAAATCCTAAACATACAGAGAAGAAGAAACAGACAAATTGAAAAATATTTTTGGTATTTTGGTTAGATGTTAGTAAACAGAAACAAACATAAAGTAAATAAGAAACACAAGGGTGAAAGAACCACAAAGTATGATCTTGTTTGTGGAATGATATGCAAATGAAATGTGGGATCTTAGGGGTAAAAATTTGGGTATTACACACTCGATCAAAGAACGGAAGCAGCCTTCTGGCATAGTTCATGTACGGCACCAAACTCGATTGGCGAGTCTCCCACTCCCCTTTAATCTGGTTGATTACAAGCGCCGAGTCACCATATACATCTAGGTTCTTGATTCTCAAATCAATTGCTTCTTCTAGACCCATGATGCATGCTTCGTACTCCGCTTCATTATTGATGACTGGAAACGTCAGTCTCGCAGTAAACGGGATGTGGGATCCGTGGGGAGTCGTGATGATTGCCCCAATGCCACTTCCATAAGAATTAACCGCCCCATCAAATATCAATTTCCACTGGGATTTCCTATCTGGCCCCTCGTCGGGCAACGGTTCATCGCAATCCTTCGCTTTGAGAAACATGATATCCTCATCAGGGAATTCAAATTTCATTGGCTGGTAATCCTCGATAGGTTGTTCGGCAAGGTAATTAGACAATACGCTTCCCTTGATGGCCTTCTGGGAAACGTACTGAATGTCATATTCCGTCAACACCATTTGCCATCTGGCAATCCTGGCCGAAAGTGCTTGCTTCTCGAAGACGTACTTGATCGGATCCATCTTCGAAATTAGCACGGTGGTATGGTTGAGCATGTACTGTCGTAAACGTTTGGTAGCCCAGGCTAGTGCACAACACGTTTTCTCCAGCATCGAGTAACGAGATTCACAATCTGTGAACTTTTTACTCAAGTAGTAAATGGCATGCTCCTTTCTGCCTGTCTCGTCGTGTTGACCGAGAACACACCCCATACTATTCTCAAGAACTGTCAAGTACATGATTAATGGCCGTCCGGCCACTGGGGGTATCAAGATCGGAGGTTCCTGAAGATACTGTTTTATCTTATCGAATGCCTTCTGGCAATCCTCGTTCCAGATAATCGCCTGATTTTTCTTCAGCAGCTTGAACATCGGTTCACACGTGGCCGTGAGCTGAGAAATAAACCTTGCAATGTAGTTTATTCTGCCCAGGAAACCACGAACTTCTTTTTCTGTTTTTGGCGCTGGCATTTCCTGTATCGCTTTAAGCTTCGCAGGATCAACCTCGATGCCTCTTTCACTCACGATAAACCCCAGTAACTTTCTGGACCGTACTCCGAAAGTACACTTGTTAGGATTCAGCCTCAACCTGAACTTCCTAAGCCTCTCAAAAAGCTTCAGCAAATTGACCAGATGCCCCTCCTCCATTTGGGACTTCGCAATCATGTCATCAACATAGACTTCAATCTCATGATGAATCATGTCATGAAACAAAGTAACCATTGCTCGTTGGTAAGTGGCCCCTGCGTTCTTCAGACCAAAAGGCATTACCTTGTAGCAGAATGTTCCCTAGGGAGTGATAAACGTAGTTTTCTCCATGTCCTCCGGCGCCATCTTGATTTGATTGTAGCCGGAGAAGCCATCCATGAACGAAAATATGGAGAACTGAGTTGTATTGTCGACCAACACATCAATATGAGGGAGCGGGAAATCATCTTTAGGGCTCGCCCTATTCAAATCCCGATAATCGACGCACATGCGTACCTTACCGTCCTTCTTCGGTACAGGCACTATGTTGGCGACCCACGGAGGGTAAGTGGTGACCGCTAAGAAGCCAGCATCAAGCTGCTTTTGCACTTCTTCTTTGATCTTAACGGCCATATCTGGTCGTGTCCTTCTAAGCTTCTGCTTAACGGGAGGACAATCTTCTCGCAGCGGCAAGTGATGGACCACGATGTCAGTATCAAGTCCGGGCATATCTTCGTATGACCAAGCAAAGATGTCACTATACTCTCCCAGCATCTCGACTAATCTCTACTTGACATCACTCTGCAATGCAACCCCTATCCTGACGTTCCTGACCAGTTCTTCAGAACCCAGATTCACAATCTCAATCTCTTCCTCGTGAGGCAGAATAACTTTCTCTTCTTGTTTCAACAAGCGAGCCAACTCTTCGGGAAGGTATTTGTCTTTATCAATCTCTTCTTCGGCTTGATAGATCGGGCAATCAAAGTCGAAGTGAGTCGTAGAAGGTCCAGAGTCGATGTCATCTGCTATGTGGATCCTGCAATAACAAGGGTTAAGCTTAAAATAAGGATATGCA